CCTCTCGATCAGCCCGCGCTTGCGCACTAGCGTTAAAATTAAGCACGCACCTGCTTTCGGTGTCATGTCAACAATCTCGCCGAGATCGAAGTGTTTTGATGACGGTTAGCCCTAATTGGGACTGTGTATTAGTAGGTCTTCCTTTTTATTCCAGGGACAGGGCTATCGTTGCCACTATGTCTAGCCTTTCGGCTGTGTTGGTGGCTATTACAACAAATCACATTTCGTAAAGCACGTTCCAGTGAAAATAATGCTAATATTGACACTTTTTGACACAAAAACAGCACAAGTTATTTGTTTTGCCATAAAAATTAGTACTACATATCAAAAAATTATTCAACTTTCTATCGCTGTAAATTTCAAAAAGAAGTATTTTTTAAATGAGCTAATCCTCGAATGCAGGCGATACTTTTTTGTTGCATTTCCGGTTGTTTACGGCTTTTAACAACACGTGTCCTTTGTTATCAGACGAGTAATTTCATCTGTGACATCGCTATCGTTCCAAATAATGCAAATCAAATCAGGCCTACTTAACATAGAAATTACTCGGCTGTTTATTGATATTAATTGTTTTAAAAAATACAAACAATAGTTTATGAAATTAATCAAAACAGTGAGCAGTTACCAACTACTTTCGTCATGATTTACGTTCCAGTGAAAAATATTGCTGATATTTACACTTTTTGACACAGAAATAACACAAGTTAAATTATATGATTTGCAATTAAAATGGGTTGGGTCGTTATAAAAGTTATTCAGCTTTCTATTGCTGCTAATTTAAAAAAGATCGGTCAAATACTTTTGGAGTGAGGTGGTTCACATACATGTGGGTTTTTTATCCCGCATTTTTGTTTACGGTTTTTAACAACACGTGTCCTTCGTTACCAGACGAGTAATTTCATCTGTGACATCGCTATCGTTCCAAGTAATGCAAATCAAATCAGGCCTACTTAACATAGAAATTACTCAGCTGTTTATTGATATTAGTTGTTTTAAAAAATACAATCGATAGTTTATCAAATTTAATCAAAGCAGTGAGCAGTAACCAACTACTTTTGCAATAATTATTTTCGTTCCAGTGAAAAATAATGCTGATATTTAGTCTTTTTGACACAAAAATAACACAAGTTAAATTATGTTATTTGCAATTAAAATGGGTTGGGTCGTTATAAAATTTATTCAGCTTTCTATTGCTGATAATTTAAAAAAGATCGGTCAAATACTTTTGGAGTGAGGTGGTTCACATACATGTGGGTTTTTTTTATCCCGCATTTTTGTCTATCGACGCCCACCACAATACTCTGAACCACGCGTTACATCGCGTTTAAAAATAGAAAAATATACCCCAAAAACGAGACATCAATTACTATGATACCACAGATTTTATCAATTAAAAGTAATACAATCAGCTTATAACAATGGGATAAACAAAAGACGTAAGAACACTTATCGAGATTGGTTTGTTTTCACACCAACTTCTGCATCTAACGAAGCGGTATCGACGCCATCTTGCTTTGTCAAAATTGAGATAGGTGGCGCTCGCTATCTGCTCCGGAATCAGGGGGAGGTAAGTCTAGATTGACGTGTCATAAAATTGGTAAGGCAGAGAGGGAGTTGCTAATCCCCTTCACTATACGTCCCTGACTGTATATATCATTGTAATTTCTCATCACTATAATCAGAGACGTATACGTCTCTGCTATAATTAAGAGTATGTACAAGTTTACAATGCGAATAATACAGTATACAGTGACCGTTAGACTGTCAAGAATGGGTTTGGCTCCTCGGTAACAGAACACAGGTAAATAACAATTTAATGAGTGACCGGAGTTTTAGCTGGCCTGTACTTGACACATAGAGATGATATATGATACCGTATGCATACCTGCTAAATGACCTGCATTCTGCGGGTCACACCCGCAAAATGAACCTATCACCCGCGACGATCTTATGACCCGAGCGGGTCATACCTATCTCACGCATTCCGTAAATATGACCCGCAATCACCCGCATCCGCGTCTTTTATTAGGATCTCCGTATTAAAATATTCATAGCTATTTTAATACCGTTATGACCGTTATGAAAACTCAACTGGACGTTTAATATTTGTTATTTGCATTCGTTTTGGTCTATAGCTCCCCTTCATCTGGTTTTCACATCTTGGCAATTTACGTAAGTGCCCCGGGCGGGGTAAACTATGGTCCAGGTACAAAGTGGCAACGTTACCCTGTGTAGCCGAGAGTGTGTTGTAAATTTACACGTGTCGATAAAGGTCGTTTAAAAAACCCACAAAACACCATTTCTAAATTTAAGAAAGTATAGACAGAAAGATAAGCTTATAGATGTAGCTAGAGTATAGGAACATACTAAAAAATCTAATTTTGTGTTCAAACACGAAACCATATATATTGTCAAGGCATTCCTTAATTTACACCAACCACGATTGTTATCGCCCAACGTTCGTCGATCGTCCGCACACATGCGTAGTGTGCAAGGAATGATCGTCCAATTTCTTATCGTTCGCACTTCGTGCACACATTGTTCACACATCGTGAATTTAAAAATAAAATATTCAAAACAATTTAAATCACATACCACGTGTATTTGATTACATGGGAAACGCCCACGTCTTGTTTACATTATTAACTTCCGGGTTTGGAATGAACTTCCGGTTTATGGAAATTAATGAATGAAAGTTCCTAGAGGGATGATTACAATTACTAACTTACGAAGTGATAAATAAAAATCTGTTCTAAAAATTGTTTTTAAAAATTTGTCTAAATTAAGTTAACGATGAGTATGGTATTAATTAAAAAGTTGTTTGGAAGTATGGGATAAATAAATACAGAAACTCTGACTCATATAAAATCCAAACAATACTTTCCCGCACATACATCAGTGATCATTTGGAGAGACAAGTATAAAAATCAAATGCATAACATCAGCAAGTTACTTACTCTAGATCGAGCATTGTGAGACTGGTAAATATGCATTTCAAGATCATGATGGTTCGTTAGGTAAAAGCTCACAAACATGTGTTTGTTTTCTTTGCAAAGCGGAGGTTATGAATTTAGAAGGGGATGCAACTCTATTCTAGTGCTCTGAACAATTTGACACACACACGTACGGTAACAATACCAAAATCTTTGATAATTATAAATTAAAAACAAATAATAAGTTACAGCTAGTTAGGTAATGATTTCTGTTAGCTTGAGTATATCAAATCTTTATAAAACTTCGTTTCTCAAAAATGCAAAGCCTTTGTAAAAGAAAAAATATAATATTTTTGTCCAAAACTAAATGATTATGGAGGATCCTAAATCTAATTTTGCCTTTTAAAACTTAATAGAATTCTACCATACTTGAATTAAATCTGAAGGTCGAAAAGATTACAAGTGTGAAAACTACAAATTCTTTGTCTCACATGTTACTTGGAATTAGATGTTAAAATGCAATATAACATAAAAAGTGTATAATACTAATAAACACACAATAATCTCATACAAATGAATATGAATAAATTCAGTATATCGGAATTAAAATATAAAAATACATGTAAAAGGAATTGCTCACCTGTAAAATTACAATGGAGACAGCCTGATAAATTTGATGTGTCTTTATTTGGGTCGCAGCTTCAAGTGGTTAGCTGGACAAGCGACAGGCAACTTAATCAGGTGCCCCCAATGTTGGTGAGGTTCCAGGAGGGGTATTTACAGTATTTTCTATTATGAAGTATAGGTAATTTACCTTTGAGGGGCCTCAACAAAAACATATGTCCAGTTGGACCTTATTGCTGATTGGTAAGATCATAGCCTGGGTTCGGCAAAGGAATTTGTGAAAAACACCGATCTGGCAGGAAGGTTACGTTAGAGCACCTGAGTCCTAATTGACTAACACAGTCGCCGAACAAATAATCTTAATGTTGGAAACGTAAATCTTAATTGTCAAACTGTTTTAGAGCTCAATTAACGTGGCTACAAATGTATGTATATGGTTATCTATTTTGGGGATTATTATGTCTAAAATGTTTTTAAAAAAAATATTCCAAATAGTAAAAGATCCAAATTTCATTGCAATAAACAAATTTATGTATTTTTACGTAAGTTATAAAAAATGTAAAATATCAGTATGATAATATCTCGGACAAGTTCGAGTTTCAGGGGCAAGGTTGAGGTCATCGTAACCATTTTTAGAAAATCCTTGTCAGCGCTTTAGCGGCTTCATTCCTTGAGGGTTTGAGATCAAATTTCACACAATTACAGAGGACCATAATATCTCTGACAAGTTTGAGTTTCAGTGTTGTTGGGTCAAGGTCAAGGCAACCGTTACCATTTTTAGAAATCCTTGTCAGCGCTCTTGTATTATTATTTAAACAAAACAAACATACAGCATTTGATATATCGTCCTATCTAGCTAACATAAGCCATTCTAAAGCGCTTTACAGTACATAGATATATAATTAATACAATTAGCATATACATTAATCAATACAAGTTTTGAGGAGTTCGCAGGAGCTGCCTTATCAAGCGCTAACTACTTGTCCTAAGCCACCTGGCTAATATCGCCCTATGTGTGTACAATGTATGTCTGCATGCGTGCTGGATATGTATTGTGTTGCATTAAAATCAGTTACAAGCTAATTGTATACTCTTCATTTTCCCAAATTAACACCAGTGGGCACCATTTTTATAAATCATAACAGTGTAACAGCTAGTGGGGGCCGGTAAGGGACATGCATTGCTTTGGCAATACTCAGTATGCTTGTTTAACTTACCTATTGTACCCACGTGCTTAATATCTATATGCATCGTTTTAAACTTGCTTATAAAATAACGAGAAACTTATAAGTTTTTAAATCTGAAATTTTTGGTTGGCATGTTTACATGTTATACTATTTATACATGTAAAAGTAACATCAGTTTTGACACATCACAATAAACATGACATCGTTATCTGTTTATTGGATAGCTCATTAATTCTACAAACTTAAGCTTAGTTACCTGTTCACTCGGTGTATATGTATCAGGTGTACTCCGAGTCCTGGTCCACGTTCTAAAATCCTGAAGATAGCGCTTGTGAGGATGAGGTACATGTACCCAAAATCCTAAACTGTAGAATCACCTGTTATAACATGAGTTCACACTTATATTTTGTACACTTGTACGTGTACTTGTGTGTGATAGGTGAGCTGAACATGAGTAAGCAAGGCGAGAGACATGGGTATGACTTTGAGATAGCCATGTTGACCAACACGATAACACTGTCCAGTAAAGCCGTGTTTTATCATTTACCGTAGTCGAGTAAACAACACGACACATGTTATAAGTATCTCTATTCCGCGAGACAAATTTTACACGAATATTAAATAGGACGAACCATGATGAATTGAAAAACAGAAAACAGTGCATAAAGCATGATTCAATGACGTTCCTTAACGTAAAGAATTCCCTAAATTTATTTTATGCCATAGGGAAATTTTATTTGAATTTTATCGAGAATGAACTCAACTTCTGTAAGGCTTTTCTTGTTGAAAATTTAAAGTATAGGAATTGCTTTAAGTTTTAATAGCGATCGTGAAACTATGGCTTGGAAATATTATTCATTTGTTTAATTACAAAATCATTCATTAGATCAAAAGTCTTGATTCAAGAGTTTTTCTTCAATAGAACAATTTTATAACATGAAAAAAGTTCCGACGGCTACTGTAGTTGATATTCTTATTACATGTACATGCTCAACTAAAAACCCAACCTCTAGCTCTAAATTAGGTTTTGCATCTTTGCAGAGAAAAAGGTCTGTGGCATATCGCTTCAAGGGCATAGGGGTCCAGAAGATATTATGGATAAATCGGGGACATCTTTAATGACCTTGGCTGTTAACAGGATGTTCAACAAAATATAACCGGGGG